AGAGGTATCTGTTTACTCTGGAGGGATGGACCTGCCTCTATGTGTGTGTGTAATACATATTAGCAATAGGGAACATAATTTTGACATATTTAACTTGAAGAAAGGGATGCTTAGACAGTGACAACCCAATATTGAATAATGCTCAATACTGAAGTTACTTTATAAAGATACGATTGTTGTATTAGTAGAGATGGTACAGTATATTCTCAGTAAGGACCTCAGTCTTTAGTCAGTTCTCATGCTCCTTGGTGTCTTGGCATTTGACATACTAGATTTACCATGTACTAGAGACTCTGAGCTTTGGTTTTTGTATCACAACATTGTCCTACTTCTCTATTGTTCATCCATTCTTTTGTTTAAAAAATGGCCAGACTGTGTTGCTGAACAAGACAGACATAACCCCTGCCCCTTGGAGCCTGTGAGCATCCTTTCTTCCTCTCTTCCTGTAGCCTCTTTCATGATTTCCCTATGGATATTAGCCCTTAGCTGATTGCTTTGTCTCCTTTAGTCTTGATTTTCCTTCTATGAGAACTGTTTCATTTTCCTAGCTTAAGTTCCTAGCTTAAGTTCTCATCTTTACCCTGAATTTTATTCATTTAGCCATTTAATAAATTTTTGTTCAGATCTAACTGTGTTCCTGTTACAAAGGATACAAAAATGATAAAGGTAGCCTTTGCCCTCAGAGTTGCTGACACACACATAAAAAACAAGTTAAAGTACAGTGTGATAGACATATGTACATGGTGCCATAGGACATAAGAAGGGGATGCCTGGCTTGGACTTGAAGGAAAACTGAGAGAACAACTATCCCCAGTAGAAGGCTGAGCATTTCAAATCCCTGTGAAACCTAGGATTTTGAAAGCATAGTATGCTTTGGCAGCAGCAGGTGGTGCAGTGTGACTGGAACCTTTAAAAAACAGTGGGAGATGAGGCTGAGCATTTAGGGAGACGCCAGGTTGTCCCAAAGGTAATATTCTCAATATTAAACTAATATTCTTCTACCATAAATGAGCTCCCCCAGCAACTTCTCATTTCTGTCAATGGAACTTTCATTCTTTATGTCCAAACCCTGAAGTGCCAAATTCAGGTCTGCCTCAGCATTTGTTGTCAGTCCTCATTTGTATCATTTCTGTATTCAAAACATTCTTCTGTGCATCCTATACTATTTCCACTATCTACACTTACCACCTAATTGGTAGTTTACTTCAAAACTGTAAATACTTGCCTTTCTTCTTGCTCTTTCACTTTTTGTTTTTTTCCTGGAAGTTAATTTCTAAAATCCCTCATTTTACCATGTTGCTGACCCTGAGCAAAAGAGGACAGTGATATTTTATTTCCTACAAGCTTACATCCTTTCCAAGTGTTTTAAACCCATAATCCTTTCTCTTATTTTGGAGTTAGGAGTCTTGCTCTGTCACCCATGTTGGAATACAGTGGCATAATCATGGCTCACTGTAGCTTCGAATTATCAGGCTCAATTGATCCTTCTGCCTCAGCTTCTTAATTATCTGGGACTATAGGTGTGTACCACTATGCCCAGCTATTTTTTTTTTTTTTTGAGATGGAGTCTTGCTCTGTTGACCAGGCTGGAATGCAGCGGTGCAGTCTTGGCTCACTGCAACCTCTGCCCCCTGGGTTCAAGTGATTCTTCTGCGTCAGCCTCCTGAGTAGCTGGGACTACAGGTGTGTGCCACCATGCCTGGCTAATTTTTTGTATCTTTAGTAGAGACAGGGTTTCACTGTGTTAGCCAGGATGGTCTTGATCTCCTGACCTTATGATCTGCCTGCCTCTGCCTCCCAAAGTGCTGGGATTACAGCCTTGAGCCACCACACCTGGCCACTCAGCTAATTTTTAAAAATATTTTTTAGAGACAAGGTCTTGCTGTGTTGTCCAGAATGGTCTTGAACTTCTGGCCTCAAGTGATCCTCCCACCTTGGCCTCTTGAGTCACTGGGATTACAGGTATTAGTATGCCTGGCTCCCATAATCTTTTAATAAACACAAAAATCTCAAGCACTGTTATTCCCATTAAAAACCACAGAATTGCAGAATTCAGAGATAATCTATAGCAAATAATAGGTTCCATTAACTTTCTGTTTTTTCTTTCTTTCTTTCTTTCTTTCTTTTTTTTTTTTATTTTGAGACACGATCTTGCTCTGTTACCCAGGCTAGGGTACAGTGGTATGACATGGCTTAACTGAAGCCTTTATCTGTTGGGCTCAAGAGTTCCTCCTGCTTCAGCCTCCTGAGTAGCTGGGACTACTCAGGAGGCACATGCCACCACACCCAGACAGTTAAAAATTTTTTTTGTAGAGATGAGTCTCAATATGTTGTCTAGCCTGGTCTTGAACTCCTGAACTCAAGGGGTCCTCCTGCCTCAGCCTTTCGGCATGCTGGGATTATAGGTCTGGCCCACCATACTCAGCCTACTTTGAGTTTTTATCATGAACATGGCATTTATTATACTGAGTGAGATTTTTACTTTTTTTTTTTTTTTTTTTTTGAGACGGAGTTTCGCTCTTGGTACCCAGGCTGGAGTGCAATGGCGTGATCTCGGCTCACCACAACCTCCACCTCCTGGGTTCAGGCAGTTCTCTTGCCTCAGCCTCCAGAGTAGCTGGGATTACAGGCACATGCCACCATGCCCAGCTAATTTTTTGTATTTTTAGTAGAGACGGGGTTTCACCATGTTGACCAGGATAGTCTCGATATCTTGACCTCATGATCCACCCGCCTCGGCCTCCCAAAGTGCTGGGATTACAGGCGTGAGCCACCGCGCCCGGCCCTGAGTGAGGTTTTTAAAGGACAGGTTCCCCTTCTCCCAATCATATCTTCTTTGCTACAATTCTAACCTGTTAACTTAGCCAGATCACTTGTCTCCATGCGAAGTCATATATTCCCTGACTCTAGAAAGAGATAGCTTGTGTTAGAATCCTGGTTCCACCACTTTCTAGTTTCAGCAATGTTCCTCATTTCTCTAAGCTTTAACAACATTGTATGAAAAAAGCAAGTAGCGATAATAAGTACCTCACAGATTGAGTTAATCACTTGATCTTAGCCAAAAGGTCGAGAAGCGGTAAGATTGAGTTAATCTGTGTAGCCTAGCTCCCAGCATGTGCAAGCATGCAATACATGTTGGCTACAAAATGTATGTACCTTGAAAACGTCTTGCTCACTTTGCTCTTGTTGATGCTTCCCTACCTCCCTCTGCCGCGCTAAAAGGTCTCACTGTGCTCCTCCCTATTGCCTGTGTTTTACTTGTCATTTCAAGTTCAATTCAGTTGCCTCTTTTTTAATAGTCTTTTCTAACTCCTTCAGTTTGTGTTGACCTCTGAATTCCTATAGGTACTTCTATGCCATTTTAGTAATTATATTTCTATTTTTATGGCATATTTCTGCCTTTTATGGTATTCCTTCTTAACTTTATATGCAATAAAAGAGTTGTGGAATTACCATCTCAGTCAGGATACAGAACAGTTTCATCATTTCCCCCAAAAAATCTACCTTGGGATTTCTTTTTAAACAATTTACTGGGTATACATTCTTTTTCTACATATACAGTTTAGGTTCTTGAATTTTAGTATTTGTTTTATACTAATTTGTCTTCCCTAAGCATGGCTTAGTATTGTGGATATAGTGAGTGAGTAGATTCTTGAATGTTTGCATTGTATAAAACAAAGCCTAAAAACATGGTAAATTTGAACATCTTAAGAAGCCACTAATTTAAATGATTTAACTTTGGTCTTTCAGGGTCATTTTATTTAGGTACAGAATTTCAGCTGAAAATTATTTCTGTATAACTTGTTAAAAATGGTCTTAGAGCATTGCCAGGGCTAATAAAACCCAGTGTTTGTCTTTAGAAAGCAAAAAGCTTTCTATTTTTATTACTGAATATATACTTAGAGTTTCTATAGTTTTCTTTCTTTCTTCTTTTTTTTCCCCCCTGAGATGGAGTCTTGCTCTGGCGCCCAGGCTGGAGTGCAGTGGCGCAATCTCAACTCACTGCAATGTCTGCTTCCCAAGTTCAAATGATTCTCCTGCTTCAGCCTCCCCAGTAGTTGGGACTACAGGAGTGCACCACCACACCTGGCTAGTTTTTGTATATTTAGTAGAGATGGGGTTTCACCATATTGGCCAGGCTGGTCTTGAACTCCTGACATCAGGTGATCTGCCTGCCTTGGCCTCCCAAAGTGCTGGGATTACAGGCATGAGCCACTGTGCCTGGTTGGTTTCTATTGTTTTCTAACCCTATTAGTTTAAATTCTAATGTAGAAAAAAATTTAAAAATTCCAGTGTGAAGCAAATTTTATGTGTTTCTTCTCTTGGATTACATTTGGCTGTTATGATATTAATTGCTGAATTTATTTATGGAATTTTGCCTTTTTTCTTAAGCACAGTTGAATTTTAAGCAATTCAGTTAAAAATGAATTGGGCCGAGTGTGGTGGCTTATGCCTGTAATCCCAGCACTTTGGGAGGCTGAGGCGGGCAGATCACAAGGTCAGGAGCTCAAGACCATTCTGGTTAACATGGTGAAACGCTGTCACTAATTAAAAAACAAAAACAAAATCAAAAAGTTAGCTAGGTGTATGGCACATGCCTGTAGTCCCAGCTACTTGGGAGGCTGAGGCAGGAGAACTGCTTGAACCCGGGAGGCAGAGGTTGTAGTGAGCTGGGATTGTGCCACTGTACTCCAGCCTTGGCCACAGAGCAAGACTCTGTCTCAAAAAAAAAAAAAAATGTGGAAGTCTGTTTTATAGATTATTTTTAAATCGGAGGTCAGTACAAGTAAGAGTATTTATACTTGGAAAAAGGTGGGGCTGATATGGACAAGCAAATGATGCTGCATGATTTCCTTAATCTTTGCTCTTGGGTGTAATGGAGATCCATCTCCAGAGAGGGCAAAATATGGTTAGCATTTGCATCCCATTCAGTAGACTTTACTTCGTAATGAAGTGAATTGAATTTAATCATGTGTGTCTTTTTTTCCCTTCCCCAACAGCTTCCATGCCTATGGCTGTTCTAAAATTGGGCCAAATATATCCATTTCAGAGAGGCTTTTTCTGTAAAGACAACAGCATCAACTATCCGTACCATGACAGTACCGTCACATCCACTGTCCTCATCCTAGTGGGGGTTGGCTTGCCCATTTCCTCTGTAAGTAAATTAATAAGTAGGTAGTGATGGGTTTGTTGTGCTGGAGGTTGGATGAAGTGATGGAGTTGGGATGGGGGTAAATCCGTAGTACTGTCTTCACCAATGTTGATATAGTGAATGATTGCTTGAGGAATACACCCACTGTTTTAGTTCAGGGACAGTGTTTCTCCAGTTAAAGGTGGATGTTACCCAGGATAACTTGATGCCATACTGAAGAATTATCGAATGATTGTTTTTGAATAGGGAGTCTTTTTCAGTCATTTGGACCAATTCATCTCAGTAAACAACTGAAGAAATTTAGGCCCAGACACTTGTTAAAGCCCAGTAAGCTATTGTATGGCAGAGCCGAAATTAAGATTATGCTTGCTTTATCATGCTATTAAGTGGAAATTGAGGCCATGGAAAAGGAAAACTTTCGCATATTAAATTTGAGAAAACAAACTCAGCAGAAAGACCACAAATATATATGCAAAATAAAATTATCGGACTACATTAAAATATGTCACTATTGGCTGGGCATATTTTGGCATGTTATTGGCTTGTGCCTATAATCCCAGCATTTAGGGAGGCCAAGGCAGGAGAGTTGTTTGAACCTGGGTGGTGGAGGTTGTGGTGAGCCAAGTTCGCACCATTGCACTCCAGCCTGGGCAACAAAACTCTGTCTCAAAAAAAAAAAAAAAAAAAAAGCCCAAAAAGCAAAGTCACTGTTTCTTACTGTGTACTGTACTTCAGACAGCTTATCAGTTTGTAGGATACTATTGGGTTTCACTGTTTTAAGTAAAAACTTTCATTCTAGATTAAGATTCACAAACTAGGTTAAGATTGCCACTTGGGATATTGTGCCTACTTTCTTTACCCTTGGCTCTCATTCCTTAATCTTGCCATTGTCATTTTATGTGACTTGGAAATAAAAGGGAAGGAGGAGGGTGAAGATTTCCCTCTTAGAGTGTCTTGGCAGTGTAGCATATCACACCTTATTTCTCCTCTGGCCACCTGTCTTTTGTCAGATGGCCTTCCTAGATTTATGACTTACAAAACTGTAGTCTTAGTAAACTAAGCAGCCTTGTTCTGCGTTAGGACTGGCTGGCTTTTCTCTCTCTATTTTGCCCCCAAATCGACTAAGAATAATAACCTAGTTGTTTGTTTTTCCAGTTTATATATCTGAGTTCATTCTTTTTGTCTGGTAGATATTTTTTTAATGGTCTTCAGCTCAGTATTTTGAAGGTGAAGGGATCCAGGATTTTTATTATATTCTAAGATATATAAGTATTAATATATTCTTACAATTCTAATTTGATTATAGCTACTTTTATGGGAGTAAAAGAATAGAAAAATCTAGCATTTAGTTTAAGGAGATACTTCATTTTCTAAGAAATAAATCCCACCGTAACTGGTAACTTAAATTTCAGCCATTCAGCTAATGAGAAATAGTGTGCAGGGAAGTACTGCCACTTAGATGACAATAGATGGTGTTACTGTACTTATATGAAGTACTAAGTAGTTGTGGTAACCATGATTTTGAGCAACTATTACCAGATAAAGTTTTTTTTTTTTTTAACTGCCCCTGTAGTTGCGGAGATAGTTGCTTGAGAGTGAATAAATTATTTTAATTGTAAAAATAACATGTAATTTTTTTTTTTTTTTTTGAGAGAGTGAGTTTTGCTCTTGTCGCTCAGGCTAAAATGCAATGGTGCAATCTTGGCTCACTGCAACCTCTACTTCCTGGGTTCAAGTGATTCTGCTGCCTCAGCCTCCCAAGTAGCTGGGACTACAGGTGTGCACTGCCACACCCAGCTAATTTTTATGCAGAGATGGGGTTTTGCCATGTTGGCCAGGCTGGTCTTGAACTCCTGACCTTAAGGAATCCACCCGCCTCAGCTTGGGTTCAAGCGATTCTCCCACCTCAGCCTCAAGTAGCTGGAATTACAGGTGCCTGTCACCATACCCAGCTAATTTTTGTATTTTTAGTGGCGATGGAGTTTTGCTATGTTGGCCACCTGGCAACATGCGCTTGGCCCATAATCTTTTTATTAATTAAAAAAATTATTATAAAGTAGAAAGGGAAAATGAACAACCCTTAGTTCTAACTGAAGACAACTACTGGTAGCATTTTGATGCTTCCTTTAGTTTGACAGTTTTTTTGTTTGTTTTTTAGATGGAATCTTGCTCTGTTGCCCAGGCTGGAGTGCAGTGGCACAATTTTGACTCACTGCAACCTCCACCTCCCAGGTTCAATCAATTCTCCTGCCTCGACCTCCCGAGTAGTTGGGACTACAGGCACGTACCATCATGCCTGGCTAATTTCTGTATTTTTAGTAGAGATGGGGCTTCACCATTTTGGCCAGGCTGGTCTCACACTCCTGACCTCAGGTGATCCACCTGCCTTGGCCTCCCAGAGTTCTGGGATTATAGGCGTAAACCACCATGCCCAACCTAGTTTGACAGTTTTTAAATCATTATGAGCACACCACAGGTTTAGTTTTCTGCCTTGTTTTTTTTTAACTTATCTTTATAACAAATATTTTCGAGTTATAGTGTTATAATATCAAGCAGCTTAAATAAAGAGCAGTAGGGCTAAATTTTTTTTTAAGGAGTGGAAAAAGACCTGGTATGAATCCTTGAGTTCTTGGGTATTAATTCCTGTGAGTTTGCTGTTAGAATCAACCTGGAAAAATATTTTAATGCCAATTATTTATTTATTTGTTTGTTTTTTGAGACAGAGTCTTGCCGTGTTGCCCAGGCTGAAGTGCAGTTGCATGATCTTGGCTCACTGCAACTGCAACCTCTACCTCCTGGGTTCAAGCAATTCTCTTGCCTCAGTCTCTAGAGTAGCTGGGACTATAGGCACACACCACCATGCTCGGCTAATTTTTTGTATTTTTTTGTTTATTTTTTGAGATGGAGTCTTGCTCTGTCACCAGGTTGGAGTGCAATGGTGCGATCTCGGCTTACTGCAACCTCCACCTCTCGGGTTCAAGCGATTCTTCTGCCTCAGCCTCCTGAGTAGTTAGGATTACGGGTTTGTGCCACCACACCTGGCTATTTTTTGTATTTTTAGTAGAGACAGAGTTTCACCATGTTGGCCAGGATAGTCTTGATCTCCTGACCTCAGGATTCACCTGCCTTTGCCTCCCAAAGTTCTGGGATACAGGCATGAGCACTGTGCCTGGCCAGTTTTTTTGTATTTTTATTGGAGATGGGGTTTCACCATGTTGGTTAGGCTGATGTTGAAATCCTGACCTCAGGTGATTCACCCGTCTCGCCTCCCAGAGTGCTGGGATTATAGGCATGAGCCACCACGCCCAACCTGATGCCAATTTATTTTTAATTAAAGAATTAATATTTGGCCATTTTCTGGGCCTTAAATGTGCTTGAATATGCAAGGAGGGATTCTTGCAAATTCTTAGGGTAGATTTGTTTTAATAGTTTGGTATAATATCTGTTGTTATACATAGAACATAATTTCTATAAAGTGAATTATTTATGCTTAGTATAACTAATATACATATGCTTTATAATTTGAACAGATTATTTGGGATGATAGAAAATATATAAAGTGGTGATTTATTTTTACAGTGCAAGGTTCATAATCTTTTTTAAAAATATATTCTTGACTGTTTCTTCTTTAGCTGTCCAAAAAGGTACCACATTCAGAAAACTATAGATTTCTGCATTATTTGGCTTAACACTTTGTTTTTGTCTTTGTGTTTTTTTTTTTTTTTTTTTTTTTTTTTTGAGACGGAGTTTCACTCTTGTTACCCAGGCTGGAGTGCAATGGCGCGATCTCGGCTCACCGCAACCTCCACCTCCTGGGTTCAGGCAATTCTCCTGCCTCAGCCTCCTGAGTAGCTGGGATTACAGGCACGAGCCACCATGCCCAGCTAATTTTTTTGTATTTTTAGTAGAGACGAGGTTTCACCATGTTGACCAGGATGGTCTCGATCTCTCGACCTCGTGATCCACCCGCCTCGGCCTCCCAAAGTGCTGGGATTACAAGCTTGAGCCACCGCGCCCGGCCTGTCTTTGTGTTTTAATGATTTATATTAGATTTCATACCAGACTTTTTTCTCATCATTTTTGGTTTTGTGTAGGTCTGTCTACCTTCTCCCTTGGTAATTCATTGTACATTTACTTGTATAAATTCTTTTATTTCTAGGAAAAGGTAAGATTTTTTGTATGCAAACTTTCAGAGTAATGATAGTGACAATAAAGTTAGTATTAAATCTCAAATCCATATGTGGCAATGAATAAGTATATTTTGTATAGATTTAAAAATATATAGTTTTGGGATAGAAAACTTATGTGTGTTTAATAGGCTATTTTATATTGACTTGCGTATTGACTGTAAGTAGCTGCTTTTCTTAAGTCATGATTACCGTATGGCATAACCTTTTATCAAAAATATTTAGCCTAGGGCCGGGCGTGGTGGCTCAAGCCTGTAATCCCAGCACTTTGGGAGGCCGAGGCAGGTGGATCACGAGGTCAAGAGATCGAGACCATCCCGGTCAACATGGTGAAACCCCGTCTCTACTAAATATACAAAAAATCAGCTGGGCATGGTGGCGCGTGCCTGTAATCCCAGCTACTCAGGAGGCTGAGGCAGGAGAATTACCTGAACCCAGGAGGCGGAGGTTGCAGTGAGCCGAGATCGCACCATTGCACTCCAGCCTGGGTAACAAGAGCGAAACTCCGTCTCAAAAAAAAAAAAAAAAAATTTAGCCTAAAATAACAGTATAGCCAGTACTTGTGACCAACTTATAAAACTCTTTCTAAAGAGTTACTGTATTATTTATGGTGACCTAAACTCAGAATGTACATAGATGTTTGTGAAAAAGTCTTAATCACTTTATATATTTGATTTTATGTTTTAGATGGAGTCTCGCTCTGTTACCCAGGCTGGAGTGTGGTGGTCTAATCTCGGCTCACTGCAACCTCCGCCTCCTGGGTTCAAGTTATTCTTCTGCTTCAGCCTCCCAAAGAGCTGAGACTACAGGTGTGCA